CATTCCTGCAGTGTCCATGCTGAAAGTTCATCAAGAACAAGGTTATAAGAAATGCCAAGTTTAATTTCCTTCAGGATTTGGATGAGTTTCCTTATTACCCGTCATGTTGTGACCATACATAGATAATGTGACTTAGATTGGCTGTCATTTTCCTGTGATTAGGTGCAATAGTCCTTCAGACAGAAAATGTACAGCTGGTAGCAGTTGTTCTGCAACCAGCACAGGACCTTCTTTAAATGTAGAATGAAGATTAGCAAGTAATGCCACAAGTTTATGAATGTAATTGGGTGTGTTGTCCTCTTCCAGTTTGCTGATTCCATATGGCCATGGGATTCAAGCCTCCGCCTGATGCTTGGAGTAAAGAAGCTTGGCTACAGTCCATACCAGTTTTGGAGTGTCTATACCCCAACTGTTCACTGCACTTTCAACATATGCTTCTCCATGCTTGGGGGAATAAACTATGGACAAATAATTTCTATGATACCTGCACTGAAACCTAGCATCTTCTCCAAAATGATCTTCAAACTTCTTGCACAGGGATCATGGAGCAGGGCTAGGCAATCCCCAGCATGCATGCCAATTAGTGGCTCACAGAGCCATTTTTCTTGTCATGCCAAGGAAATTGTGAGGAAATTGTTTAAAAAAATTTTGTTTTTTAAGTTGCTGCTCTGGGCTCTCTGGAGCAGCCACAGGTCCCAGCACCATGGCAAGCATTGGGCGTGTACTCAGCCCCATCCCTGTGGAGCTGCATGGGCCTAGCTGGGCCGGACCCCACCTCAGGTGCCACTGGGTACCACCACCTGCTCACCGTGTCCTGAATCTGCAGAGCCCCGGGGTAGCCCCCACTTCCCACCCGGCCCCTTCTCTTCTCCAGCTGCTGCCTTCCCAAGGGTCTGGCTAGGTTGGCCTGTCTGCAGCACCTCCCCCACCCCCCACCTGCTTCTCTCTGCACTGCTCAGACCCTGCCCCTAGCTAACAAGGGACATTCTCAACTAGTTCTTACTCGTGATTCAGTTGGTTCATCAGTAAGTCTCTCTTGCAACACTTAACAGATAGTATGCCTCTTGTGCACACTTCAAGTTAATGCCTACAACATTCAACTTACAGTTTTTATGCACTTTCTTTGGCTTATTTTGTCGACCTGTGTTCGCTCATAAAGCGTATCAAAACTTGTGCATAAGTCTTTCCATTGTTGAGCTCTTTGTGCACGTTTATTCCATGTATCCTGGGAAAGTTGCTGTAAGGGGTTCTTTTTGGATGTTGAAGTTTTTTTTCACATATGACACATTATTATTGAAAGTTTTAGGCTTTTTCTTGGCAGTGCTGCAACTACAAGTGCTAGCCTCTTGGTTTGCTGGGAAGTTCCAGTCCCTGTTCTATCATCCGTTGTTCCTAACTATTCATTTTCTCTTCCTTCACTAAAGAAGAAATAAAAAAGTAATGTAGATGAGATGTAACCACAAAAGGATAGGATTACCAAAACATTAAGAGCAGATACCATTCTAGGCTATATGTCATGCCTTAAAAAGTAATGTTGTTTTGAATTTAAAGGGTTGGAGCTGCCAAACAATGGGCCATTACTCATCAAAACACAAAGAAGATTTGTAGGTTATTGCAATACCTATTTAAAGACATTTAGAAAATCAAAATTGGCTTCATAGGTACTGAGATATTGACATTTATTCATCTCATTAGTCATGGTTGTCATTTTTAAAGATGGCAGCCAAAGCCAAGATTAGAAAAGTGACACCCTCCTCCCCCCCGCCCCCCCCGGTCAGATTTCTTCCTTAACAACTCAGCTATACATTTAAAAAATAAAGAAGGTCTCTCCCAAAAAACACATGGGCTTTGTGCGTGTGGATGACTGGACTAGAACAGGGATTGATGGCCTCCTTGAGCAACAGGCTGCTGTTTGTGATCTAGCTTCCACTGTGGGCTACTGATCTCTGTAGCTCTCATGCCTCAATTGCTCAGTACTGGCTAATTTACTGGCCGGATAAATTTGCCCATGTGGCACGCCAAGCCCTATGGGAAGACTGCTTCTAGTGCCTAAACAAGCATGGGTGTCTCCAGGGTTCATGGTGGTTGGGGAGTGTGAGAACTATGGTTAAGCAACTAGCAAAAGTCCTCAATGTTATTCCCCTTTCTTGCCTTCTCTCTTTTTCTTTAACTACCAAACATAATCTTTAGCATTCTGTCCCCAAATGGCATTCCCTGTTATCGGTATTCACATCTGTCTTGTTCTTTCCACAACTAACCTCTTCTGTTTCACTATTCAAGGCACCTGTCAGATCTAGTACAGCAGCAAGCTGTTACCTACACACACTCCCTGCCCCTCAGCCTTATCCTTGGAGTTGACTCAAGTGGCAAGTTTAGGGGCTGTGGAAGGGAAAAGGAAAAGCAGTCACTGAACTTTTTAAAGGGTGCATTGATACTGATCTACTCTATTGCAGAACCAGGCTAGAATCCTAAGGGGTGAGTACAAGAGACAGAGCAAATTGGGGATCTCTAACTTTGTCTTTAACCTTGAGTTTGATGAATTGAACCTTGAGTTTGATGTGATGAAAGCAATTATAGCTTGATCTGATGATGCTAAAAGTAGGGCACATTATTCCAGATCTTGTGTAGATGGAGGAGGTGCCATCTCTGTGTGGTTGAGGATGCTGCAGATAAACTTCTTATGCACTTCTCTGAGGATCCCTCTGGCAGTAGATGTTTGCTTCTGCCCACTTTTGCTGTAGGTGCAAATGTAGGCATTTCATGATGAGCTGTGGGGAGTTAGTCAGGTGGGGGTTGCTGTGTGAGACGGGATTTATTCCTTGTGGGATTTTGTAGTTAATTTTGGGTGCAGGCTTCAAGAAGCTGGTCAAGTTGATCAGTGACTAGGAATAGGGGTTGAGGACACGGAGTGAACTTGTCAATATAGGGGACACAGAAGACTGGAGAATGGGCCATAATTAAATGTAAGTTGATACAGGGTTGGGGTGAGAAATATTGTGTACATCGTACATAAACGCTATTGTTATTATGCATAACATTGACATTTACTACTCACTGAGCCTCCATTTACTCACTGAAATGGGTGACCTTGAATGATCAAGCCACCTAAACCCTTACGTGTAGGGTACACTACTGTCACTATACAGGAGCGTATATCCGACTATACGCTGGTGCGTGTCAGGCCCACAGTGTCCCACCGCACAAAGCGGCTGCTTGCGGGCTGCCATCGCGCGGGTCGCATAAGGGTGAATTTACCGCGCATATGACGAATTTTTGGTGTAAAAAGGGTCAGCGCCGAAGAGCGAACGGGCACATACAGGGCCCGCATACAGCGAGGGAAACCTGCGGGTGGAGAGGCGGCGGTGATGTCGGCAGCAACCCGGTGGAGGGTATGGATGACTGCACCTTGGGGCAGCCCCATGCCGCCGTAGCGGCGCCGAGCAGCTGGCTGCCGGGCCGGGCCGGGGGGTGAGGGAGGAGGCGGGAGCAGCGGCGGCGGTGGCCCTTCCCCTCGCTTGAGTGACAGGCGCGGGGAGGTGCAGCGGCCGGGCCCCT